ATCATAGGAGGTCTGACTTAAGTTTGTTTCAAAGCTAACATAAGAAAATTCTGGTTCTGGAGTGATGTGAATAGTCCAATAAGTTCCATCCGATTTCATCCCATTCATTGAATACCCACAAGGATTGAACATTGTGGCATCAATGACAGAACCTGGTATCAGGTCACAAATTCCACTCTCACGAGTGACATCCTTTGCAGTAACACCATCTTTCATGTAGAACTGGTCCATAACTGCTGGGTCAAGCTCACTCATCAGAATTTCCAGGGTTTGATCTGGCTGATTGATAACCCTACTCTCTGGGAAATCCAAAGTATACAAGTACCAACAGTCAGAATTCATGCGTCCCATACAATATGCTGCTCCATTTGGGAAAATTGCATTAAGGAACTCTATTTCTTCCTGGAAATTCCGGTGTGGGTACCCTTGGTGAGAAGGCTTCATGAAATTCTTACGAGAATAAAAGAAGCTTTGAATTGAGTCAAACCCACTGTAATCCCTAGCAAGTTTCAACAGGGGAACCAGTGCTTTCAGCAAGAGGGTGGTACCACATGTCTTCAAAATGAAACGTCTCTTGGAGACAAACATGCTACTCTCACTGAGTACATAAGCTTCCTGCTTGTCAGTTTTTGTCACACTTATGATTGAACATTGCACATCCTTCAAAAGTATGTCCCACTCGGATCTTGGGATGGTGCGAAGATCCCCAGATCCTTGGTTTGCGTCGGGTTGCTGCCTGGAGAACCAAACCTCCAGCAGTTTCTCGGTCCCTTCGAAAAAATGTGCAGCTTCCATCACCGTGAGACTAGCGAACAACCAACAACCACAGAAAATCAACTAAATTAAATCTCTTCTCCCGCCGCCGCCGCCGCTGCTGCGGATTGTTCCAGCTGTGTTACTAAAGTTCAGGTTCCTTTTTTTTTTTTTGCTATAATTTTATATTAACTTTTTTTAAAAAAAGGATTAATAAAATTTTCCCGGCTTTGTGTGTGTGGGTGAGCGAAAGTTGAACGTGAGTCTGTTGGAAATAGAGGCAGATACAGCTCAGTCTCTTGTAGTCCGCTGTTTCCCCGTTAGAGAGAGTAGAGCGAGCGCTAGCTAATGTCGCCGGCCATACTGTGGGAGCCACATTATTGTTGTTAGTACTTCAAATTATCATCTCTATAGTTTTGAATATACTGTCTCTATTATTTTATTTACAATAAATAAATAATATCTTTTGACCTTGGATAGTAAAGATAAGGAAATCAACATCCTTTTGCCACCTCTCATCTTCTTACATCTCCCCTTCTTGGTACTGTTAATTGTATTACATTTACTGGTATAGTTTATAATATTAACATTCTGAACAATATACAGTAGTGATTAAGAGAATGAGCTGTGAACCAGACTGCTTAGGTTGAAATCTTGGCTTTATCATTTTGTAGCTTGAGCAAGTTACTTGATAGCTGTTTCTGTTTCCTTATTTTTATAATGGTTATAACAATAGGTTCTACCTCACAAGGCTGTTGTCATAATAAAAGTGTAGCGCTGGAACAGTGCCTGATACATGGTAAGCATCTAGTAACTATGCAATACTGTATTAACAGTTATTATGAAATAGATTCTCAGGGTGGTTTTCATCCCAGTCCTACATTTCAACTGGCTTCCATGCGCAGTTTCTGTGTTCATCTCTTGGTTGCCTCAAGTTCATTCTCTAATACTTCTTCAAGTGATGCTAATGGTAATTATATCTTCTGATCCTTAACATATTCAAAAATATTTGATGCTTTTACTTGAAAGAAAGTTTGGCTATGGAAAATAAGAAGAGCTATTATTGAGCACTTATTAAAATCACAAGTGATCCATCCTCATTAAATGATTATAGCTCTTAATAGTGCTATAAGTCAAGCAGTATTTACATCTCCTTTTACAGAAGAGAAAATTAGGACACAAGAAGATCACACTTCTTTCTCAAACTTTGCTGGCAGTGCACTACCTTTGAAGATGGATGTTGAGAAATCTGAGTCCAATCTGATTTATTTTCCCTTAAAAATTCTTGATCTTTTGCCTGTTTGCTCAAAGTCCAGTAAAATTCAGTGGGATATGTCACAGGGGTCATTCTGTGTCAGTTTCCTTGGGACACTGTGAGTCCTTTCAATCTGTACATTAAAGACTTCTTTCACTTATCTGAAGTTCTGTTGAATTCTACCCTGATTATTTTTTTCTTTTCCGTGTATTCTGTTCTTCCATATGTGGATATGCTAGATATCCTTTGTTTTCTATATCTATAATTTTATCTCAAATTCTTTTTAGTTCTTTTCAAATTTCTTATTTTGCTCACTTTTCTCAACCTAGCCCTCATAAGTCTTCATGTGTTGTTATTTTTGTCTTCATCCCCCTTTTACCCATTCATACTATGTCTTTAATTTCTGTATTTTTTTTCTTTTTCTTCCTTTCTGAGTTCTGTTTACTTCATTTAAATTCAGTTCTTTTGTCTCATCATCATGTCTCCTGCTCTGAGGTCTTAAACTATTTCATTAAGTCTTTTGAATTCATAGCAATATGTTTGCTGTGCTTCATGGCAGTATTTTTCTGGAAAAAATTTTTGTTTGAGATGTCCTCTTCCTATTCCTTTCTGACTTTTCCTTATAGATTTGCTGTATAGATCTCCAGCTTGTTTTGAGTATTACTCATTACTGAGTTAAAGGAGTTCTTCAACCAGCTATTTGCAGGAAGCAACCGGGGCAGTGAAATGAGCAAGTGGTGAAACTCCCGTGGCCCAGAATTTGTGTATGTGTGTGTGTGTATTAAGAGAAAAAGAAAAGGTGAGACAGAGAGACAGAGACACACATATTGCTTTAGCCTATCTGTCTCCTCAGCAACTACAGAGATGCTCATAATATAGTCTCTCCCAACCCTTATTTTATTTACAGACTGCCTCCAACATAGATAAGATTTTTAAGGATTTTATTATCAGTGCTGCCTTGCCCTGGTGGCTCAGAGGTAAAGAATCTGCCTCCAATGCAGGAGACGTGGGTTTGATCCCTGGGTCAGGAAGATCCCCTGGAGAAGGAAATGGCAATCCGCTCCAGTATTCTTGCCTGGGAAATTCCATGGACAGAGGAGCCTGGAGGGCTGCAGGGTTGCAAAGAGCAGGGCACGACTGAGCACACACACACACTGCTTTGCCCTGCTACTTCATGATGCCAAATAAAACTTACATTGCAAACCGGAGAGATGGGTCTGGCCCTCAGGTATACCATGTAGTCAGTGTTCTCCGAGCTTTGAGAAGAGAGGTCACAGCAGGTATTTAATCTCAGCATCTTTCTGTACTCTGGTGTGATTCTTACTGTATTTGGCAGGCCATCCTTATTTATTGTGCCTTACGGTTACATTGGTACCTTATCTTGTCAAAGGATTTGGTTTTTTTTTTTTTTTGGTCGCAACACATAGCTTGTAGAATCTTATTTCCTTGACCAGGGATTGAACCCAGGCCTTTGACAGTGAGAGCAGAGTCCTAACCACTCACTGGATGACCAGGGAATTCCCATCTGTTGTTGTTGTTTTTCTTGTTTTGGGGCAATATCAAGGAGACAAGATGACAGAAGTGCCTTGTTATTTTAAAAATATTTTGGTATTTTAAACTTTATTTTTCAATTCATTTTAAAATAGAGCCATTTTAAAAAATAGACTGCCCATCTCCTCATAGGCAGTAGGTACCATACCACCTCAGGCCATGCTAAGTGGGAAAAAAATGACTTCAAAGTTCTGTGCACACCCGAGTCACAATAAGATCTCATAGTTACATAACTAGTAAGGAGCAGAGCTTGGATTCAAATCCAGGTCTGTCCATATCCCAAGCCTGAATTATTTTTATCACAGAACTTTCTCTTAAAGAATGTAAATATTTCTTTACGGTGTCTTTACTATGTTTCTTCTTTTTTAATTTTAATTTTATTGGCGTATAGTTGGTTTACAATACTGTGTTAGTTTCAAGTGTACAGCAGAGTGATTCAGTTCTACATATACATATATTCATTCTTTTGGATTCTTGTCTTTATAGGGTATCACAGAATCCCGAATAGAGTTCACTGTGCTATATAGTGTTCCTTGTTGGTTATCTGTCTTATATGTAATAGTGTATGTGTGTTCACTTCATCCTTCTGATTCATCCCTGCCTCCCATTTCACGTTTGGTGACCATAAGTTTGATTTTGATATCTGTAAGGCTGTTTCTGTTTTGTAAATAAGTTCATTTGTATCATTTCTTTTTGATCCCACATGTAAATGATACCATATGGTATTTGTCTTTCTCTGACGTAATTCACTTAGTGTGATAATCTCTAGATCCATCCATGTTGCTGCAAATGGCATTATTTCATTGGTTTTTTTATGGCTGAGTAATATTCCACTGTATATAGGCCACATCTTCTTTATCCTTTCCTTTGTCAATAGACATTTAGGTTGTTTTCATATCTTGGCTATTGTGAATAGTGCCGCAGTGAACACTAGGGTGTACGTATCTTCTTGGATTACCGTTTTCTCCTGATATGTGCCTAGGAGTGGGATTGCTGGATCATATGGTAGCCCTATGTCAGTTTTTTAAAGAACCTCCATACTGTTCTCTGTTGTGATATACCAACATCAACAGTGTGGGAGGCTTTCCTTTTCTCCACACTCTTTCCAGTATTTATTGTTTGTTACTTTTGGATGATGGCCATTCTCAGTGGTGTGAGGTGATACCTCTTTGTAGTTTTGATTTGCATTTCTCTGGTAATTAGTGATGTTGAGCATCTTTTCATGTGCTTTTCAGCCATCTTTATGTTTTTGAAGAAACATCTATTGTGATCATCTGCCCATTTTTTCATTGGGTTGTTTTTATTTTGACATAAAGCTGCATGAGCTGTTGTATATTTTGGAGATTAATCCTATGTTGATTACTTCATTTGCAAATATTTTAATATGTTTCTTCTTGTGAACATTTTTCTATTAACTACTTTTTTATTTCCTGGTTTTTAGTGTGACAAATACAAGACCGGAGTTATTGATGGGCCTGCATGTAATAGCCTTTGTGTTACAGAAACTCTTTACTTTGGAAAATGCTTATCCACCAAGCCCAGCAATCAGGTATGGACATTATGAATTAACATTCCAGATTTATGGTGCTATCTGATTTTACCTTAAACTACTTATTAAAAGAACTGTTGAACTGGAACTTCAGGATATTTTAATTAATTCAATTGTATAGGCGTTGACTCATTCATCTAACAGGTATTTATTAATCCCCTAGTCCCAGCATATTCCATACACTTATTTTAGTTGTTAGGAAAACAGGGGTGATTAAGATAGATAAGATTATTTCCCTATGGGTCTCACGTTATCCCAGAGGGATAAGGAACATAAACAGTTGATGGATAAGTAAATAAGTAAAGTAATTACAGAATGTGGTATGTTTTATATAGGATATACACAGGGTGAGTTGATGAAACATACTCATTCCTTTTATAGAAATTTAAAGTAGATTTTAAGTCTATAATACTAGCCATGTTTAAGAAGTTTTCCGAAATAAAGTCCAATATTTGAGTATCTGCTGTTTGCTAAGTACTGCTAAGGCATTGGGAGAGACCATGGGGAACAAGACAGACAAAACCTCTGGCCTCATATGCCTTATGTTTCATGTGAAAGAAGTCAGATGATAAAGAGTCAATAAAGAAATAAGGTCATTTCATGGATTCCCTGGTGGTACAGTAGATACGAATCCACCTGCCTGTGCAGGGGACGTGGGTTCAATCTCTGGTCCAGGAAGATTCCATATGCCACAGAGCAACGAAGCCCACGCGCCACAACAGCTGAGCCCTGGAGCCTAAACTGCTGAGCCCGCATGCTTTAAATACTGAAGCTATGCACCTAGAGCCTGTGCCGTGCAACACAAGAGGCCAGCAAAATGAAAAGCCCATACACCACAGCTAAGAGTAGCCCCCACTCACTGCAACTAGAGACAGCCCATGCACGTCCATGAGGACCCAGCACAACCAGTAAATAAATAAAATAGAACATCAAAAAAATAAGATCGTTTCAGACAGTGATAAGGGCTATGAAGAAAATACAATGAGGTCATGGCTTAGAGAGTAACCTGTGAGGGAAGAGGGATCTACTGTAGGTAGGAAATTAGGGAAGGTCAGTATAAGGTGACCTCTTGGCTGAGACTTGAATGATGTGAAGGAATGAGCTGTATGAAGATCATTGAGAGTACATTCCAGGCAAAACCAGTAGCAAGTGAAGGAGGTCATGAAACAGGAATGATGGTGGTAGGTTCAAAGAACAGAGAGAAGACCTGCATAGATGGGATATAGAGATTGAGGCAGTAGGTGGTTGGAGAAGCAGGCCAGCTCATAAGAAGCCTAGCAGACAATGAAAAGGGCTTTGGACTTTATTCTGATTGAATTAAAGGGTTTGAAGCAGAGGAGTGAGTAATAGTATTACTAATTAACATGGTCATATTTATTTTTTACCTATAAGCAACAGTAGACTGCCTGGGTTCACAGGCTAGTTTGCCACCCTTGTATTCCCTTCAGCATACTGCTTCACTTCTCTCTGCTTCAGTTCATCTATCAGTGAAGTCAGGGTAATAATGGTATCTACTGCATAGGGTTGTTATAGGGAGTAAGATAATCAAATAAATTAATAGACCGTAGCATAATGTAAAGCGCCATATATTGTTAGATTGTTAAATAGCTAGATAGTTAATAATGACTAATTCTGGGAAGTAGGGAAATGGATGTTGAACTTTTCATCTTCCTGTGTAATTTGACTTTAAAAAAGATTATAGCTGTAAATACTTACATTGAGATAAGATCTCAAATAAACAATTGAACTTTACATTGTAAGGAATTATAGAATAAACTAAATCTAAACCTTGCTGAAGGAAGGAAATAATACAGATTACAGTAGAGATCAAGGAAATAGAAAATAGAAAAACAATAAAATCAGTGAAAACAAAAGTTGGTCATTTGAAAAGGTCAACAAATTTTACAAACTTTTAGTTAGATAAACTAAGAAACAATGAAAGAAGACTCAAATTATGAAAATCAGAAATGAAGCAAAGACATTACCATCAGTTCTACGTAGAAAAAAAGGATTATGTGAGAATACAATGGACAGTTGTACAGCAACAAGTTAGATAATCTACATGAAATGGGCAAATTCTTCCTAGAAACACAAAACCTACTAAGAAATAGAAAATCTGCATAGACTAACAGGGAGAGCAAATCAGTAATCAAGTCCCCCAACAAGAAAGGCCCTGGACATCTGGGTTTCTCTCATGAATTCTAATAAACATTTAAAAAACTAACACCAATCCTTCTTAACTTTTGATGGCTCAACAATGAAAACTGATCAATGTAATACATGACATTAACATAACAAAGGGGGAAAAGGAACACCACAATTAATGCAGAAAAAGCATTTGACAAAACTCACAATAAAAACACTCAACAAACTAGGAATAAAAGGCAACTTCTTCAACATAGTAAAAACCCTTGTGTGAAAAACCTACAGCTAACATCTTGCTCGGTGGTGAAAGACTGAAAACTTTTCCCCTAAGATCAAGAACAAGGCAAGGATGCCTAGTTTCACCAATTTTGTTCAATATAGTACTGGAAATTTTGGCAAGATCAATTAGAGATAAAAGACATATAAATTTGAAAGGAAAAAGTAAAATTATCTCTTGATAGATGATATGATCTTATTTGTAGAAAAACCTAAAAATTCCACAAGATTATTAGAGCTAATAAATGAATTCAAAGTCAACCCACAAAAATCTGTTGCATTTCTATACAGTAACAATGAGGACAGATATATAGACTAAAGGAATATAATAGCCCAAGAATAAACCCTCACATATACAGTCATATAATTTTTGACAAGGGTGCTAAGACCATTCAGTAGGGAAAGAGCTCTTTTTTTAACAAATAGTACTGGGAAATCTGGATATACACATGCAAAAGAATGAAGTTGGACCCTTACCTAACACCATAGGCAAAATTCAAGTCAAAATAGATCAAAGATCTAAAGGTAAGAATTAAAACTATGAACCTCTTAGATGAAATATTAGGTAAAAGCTTTGTGACACTGGGTTTGGCAATGATTTCTTCCACAGTCAACAAAAGAAAAAATAGACAAATTGTACTTCATAAGAATTTTTAAACTTTGTGCATCAAAGGTCTATATCAGTAGAGTAAAAAAGAAACAGAATGGGAGAAAGTATCTGCAAATCACATATCTGATAGGGGATTAATATCCAGAATATATAGAGGGCTCCTAAAACTCCACACCACCACCTAAAAAAACCCAGCTGTATTAAACCCAGCTGGACTTCCCTGGTCCAGTGGTTAAGAATCCTCCTTCATGCAGGGGATGTGGCTTCGATCCCTGTTCAGGGAACTAAGATCCCACAGGTCTCGGAGCAAATAAGCCCATGCACCACAGCGAGAGAGCCGTGTGCCAGAATTGGAGAAAGCCCACCCACGCGCTCCTAGGAAAACCCAGAGCAGCCAAAATTAAAAAAAAAAAAATGGTCAAAGAATTTGAATAGGCATTTCTCAAAAAAAAGATATACATATATCTAATGAGTACATGAAAAGATGCTCAACACCACTGATTATTAGGGAAATGCAAATCAAAACCACACTGAGGGAAATTCCCTGGCCACCCAGTGGTTAGGACACGGTGCTGTCACTGCCGGGGCCTCGGTCAGTCCCTGGCTGGGGAACTAAGATCCCACATGCCACGTGCAATGGCCAAAAAGAAAAAGATACCACCTCACACCCATCAGAATGGCTAGTTAAAAAAACACAAAACCAGGTGTTGGCAATAATGTAAGAAAACTAGAACCCACTATTGGTGGGAATTTAAAATAGTATAGCCACTGAAGAAAACAGGTTGGCAGTTCCTGAAAACATTAGAAGTAACATTAACATGACCTTATGATTCTGCAATTCCACTTCTAGGTATATATGTAAAAGAATTAAAATCAGGATCTCAAAGATATATTTGTAGATCCATAGTCATAATTATTCACAGTAGCTAAAACATGGAAGCAACCCAAGTGTCCATTGATGTATGAATGGAAACGCAAAATATTATAGTATTATTCAGCATTAAAAAAGATGGAAATTCTGACACTTGCTACAATTTGGTAAACCTTGAGGACATTATAAGCGTGTTAGAAAAGGACACTTACGTAAGATACTAAGAGTGAGTAGTCTGAATCAGAGACAGACAGTGGACTGGTGGATGGCAGGGCTGAGGAAGGGGGCAAACGGGGAGTTATTGTTTAATGGATAGTTTCAATTTTAGAAAATGAAGAGTTCTGGAGACAGATGATGGTGATTGTAGTACAAGTTCATGAAATCTAATACCACGGAACTGTATGTTAAACATGGTTTAGATGGTAAATGTTCTATTTTTTATATTTTAGCATGATTTAAAAACTGGAAAAAAAAACCCTGGAAAACAATAAAATTGATCATGGTAAAAATATACATATATATTTAGGTATGCAATATTTTTTAACTGGGAAAAAAGCTTTGAAGTATGATTTCATATTTGCAATTCAGAAAGAAAGTCAGCTCAGTGTTGATGTTTTGTTGCTCGTTTGTGGTTTTTTAGAGGTGTTGGTGGTTTAGTCCTTAAGTCGTGTCCGAATCTTGTGGCCCCATGGACTGTGGCCCACCAGGCTCCTCTGTCCATGGGATTATCCTGGCAAGAATACTGGAGTGGATTGCATTTCTTTCTTCAGGGGATCTTCCTGTCTCAGGGATCAAACCCGTGTCTCCTGCATTGAAGGCAGTCTCCTGCATTGCAGATGAATTCTTTACTGCTGAGCCACCAGGAAAGCCCCTTTTTTAAGAGGAGGAGGACACTAAAAATATCGTGTAGATTAGATGAGGTTTTCTACTCTGCTTAAACCATAATTTGTCATTCTTTTCACAGATATATTTAGGGATTTGGGATAATCTACCAGGTGTTGTGAAGTGTCAGATGGAACAAGCACTTCATCTTGATTTTGGTACAGAATTGGAACCAAGAAAAGAAATAGTGCTATTTGATAAGCCAACTAGGGGAACTACTGTCCAGAAATTCAAAGAAATGGTCTACAGTCTCTTTAAAGTAAGTATATGCATTCATATGTTGCTGGTATGATGTGGTTCTCTTCTAGAAGCTGGCAGGATCTCATCATAAACCATAAAAATGTTGCTATTCTTTGACCTATATCAAGGACTCTATCTTGAGGAAATAATTCAAAGAAAAAAAAAAAAAGGAGGCTGTTTACTTTAGCATTACTTATTATAGCTAAAAATGTCCAAATGTGAGAGTTCATTAAATAGATGGGCTGCTCTATTAACTTGACATTATAACTGGTACACTGGTTTTAAAAAGGTGAAATAAAATTAGTAGACCCTGATTTTTTTTTAAAGAATAGAAATATTAAAAGATGAAAATAACACTTCTAGAAAGAATATTTTCTCATTTCCATTGCGCTCATATTATCACTCAAAATCTTTTTCTTTGGACAGTTTATACTTTTACACTGTTTTGTGCCAGGGAACATTCACAAGGAAATACTTTTTAACCTTTACTATTGGAACAATATACTTGAATGAAATGTAAAACAATTACAAAATAAGAGATAGTAATTTGTAGTTGACCTTTATAACTTTGGATATGGGCAACTTACACTGCAATTTTGCAAGTATGAACAAGGCCAAGACTAATTAAATTAATGGCTTGGTTAACTATCTACAGGGTTTAAGATTATGGGAGTTATGGTGGTCATTTTTTAACAGACAAATATACTTAGCAAAGTGGGTTTTACTGCAAGTACCTAAAGCATAGTTTTGACTTGACAAATATTATAAATATCTGGGAATGTATTAAATCTCCTATGGGTATTCAGTAGCAAGGTTATTACTTAGCAGGGTAATCATCCCCATAAAGGAAGTTAGTATGTTACACATGGGATACTCATTTTTCATACCTTCTGTGTAATTAGCCAAGTTCTTATCTTTACAGGCAAAGTTGGGTGACCAAGGGAACCTCTCTGAACTGGTTAACCTAATCTTGACAGTAGCTGACGGAGACAAAGATGGCCAGGTTTCCTTGGGGGAAGCAAAGTCAGCATGGGCACTTCTTCAATTAAATGAATTTCTTCTTATGGTGATACTTCAAGATAAAGAACACACCCCCAAATTAATGGGATTCTGTGGTGATCTCTATGTGATGGAAAGCGTTGAATATACCTCTCTTTATGGAATAAGCCTTCCCTGGGTCATTGAACTTTTTATACCATCTGGGTTCAGAAGAAGCATGGATCAGTTGTTCACACCATCATGGCCTAGAAAGGCTAAAATAGCCATAGGACTTTTAGAATTTGTGGAAGATGTTTTCCATGGCCCATATGGAAACTTCCTCATGTGTGATACTAGTGCCAAAAACCTAGGATATAATGATAAATATGACTTGAAAATGGTGGACATGAGAAAAATTGTGCCAGAGACAAACCTGAAAGAATTTATAAAGGATCGTCACTGTGAGTCTGATCTGGACTGTGTCTATGGCACGGATTGTCGAACTAGCTGTGATCAGAGTACAATGAAGTGTACTTCAGAAGTGATACAACCAAACTTGGCAAAAGCCTGTCAGTTACTCAAAGACTACCTACTGCGTGGTGCTCCAAGTGAAATCCGTGAGGAATTAGAAAAGCAGCTGTATTCTTGTATTGCTCTCAAAGTCACAGCAAATCAAATGGAAATGGAACATTCTTTGATACTAAATAACCTAAAAACATTACTGTGGAAGAAAATTTCCTACACAAATGACTCTTAGTTCATTTGGACATTGTGACCATTTTAAGAAACTTAGCACTTCAAAAGAAAACTATTCATCATTTTTTCTACATGGCTTGATTCAAACCCTTGTGTTAACAAAACTCCTTTCCCCTGGTCCTAAGGAAGCCATCATCTTAAAATACATGTTGACTGCTGAAGGCAGGAGTTACAGGATCAAAAGGTCCAAAAAATTTTATTCCTGTCCTTTTAGAAACTCTTGGTACACTTCCTAGTACATCCACTGTGTAACTATTTTGACTAATGACTTAAAATATAATACTGTGAAAAGCCTCATTCCATAAACATCAACAGTGAAGAGTATTTTGTAGATTTGTTAGCCAAATATCAGTGCTGGAAATTGTGTCTGCATTGAAGCTGCTATTTAAAAAAGAAAATTTATAAATTTACTAATGTCTTAGCATGGTAAAGTTTGCACATTAACAGGAATTAAGACTGCAAAGCAGGTAAATTAAAATTACTCCTTTATAAACAGGTGTTGGGTTACTAGCATGGTTTCTTGTATTATACACTTAATCCATTTATATATCAAATTTTACGTGGCTTCAGAATGTTGAGTGGCCCTTACCCACTTGAAACCCATCAGGAAGATTCTTTCTGGCAATAGGTAACTAACTGCCAATTTCAGAGGCTGAATATGGATGAGCTTTCATCATCCTAGATTTAAAGCATCTGTATCTTAGTAACCAGCCACTGGTCCTCCAAAAGGCACATCTTTAGGCCACAGACCCAACAGTTCCACATATCTTGAATCTGAGCTATTCAGAGTGGGACTCCCGAAATCATAGAACTTCCTATTAACAACTGTTTTCAAACATTATTCCCTGCTGGCCAAAGAGCTGTTTCTTAAGAGGCATGTAAATTTACCCATCTAACACTGTCATATAAATTTGACATACAAGGGTTGATATGTGCTCTTTTGTTTATTCAGATCTGGCATGTGCCTTTCAACTCTATAAAAAGAAACATCTCTTGTGAGAAAGACCCAATATTTTCTGCTCATAGCTTTCATCTGGTTAAAATGAATATGTTAAAATTATATGACCTTCATGGGACAGCTTCCTCTGAAAAATTAAAGCCATGAATTAGCATCAGTTTTTCTTACTTTAAAATTGTAAACTTTGAAGGTACTTTTTCTTCCCACTTATCATGTGGTTACAATAAATGAATTGAAGAAATACTTCTAGTGGAAGGTTTGTCTGTTGCTTGCCAGACTTGAATTAACTCCTGTCAGGAGGAACTGATGCCCAAGAAGCAGATATGAACCTTCAGGCAATATGTAAGCCCTGGGAAAAGCTATGCTTGTTTCTGGAAGGAAAATACTGGCTATGTCAGGTGCTTTCCAAAGTTCCATTAACAAGAGCTTAACACAAACAGCTGCTTGTTCAATAAGTTTATTATTGTCTTATCTGAAAAATCTTGATAGAAAATTGTGGTTTGGTTTAGCTCTCGGCAGCTCGTTCCTGAGCTCTAAGGAAGCTTGCCTTCTTCTGAGCTACCCGATCTTTCTTCTGGGCAAGTGACATTTTGGGACGGTTCCACCTAGGAAACAAAAAGAAAAGAAAGGGATGTAATTTTCATAGCTAAAGAGCATAGAGAATATTTAACTTTGAAAAAGACAGACTTTAAAAGTCAAATAATCCAATTCTCAACACATGTACTCATTTATGGTCTTAGTCTAACTTTCCCAAATTCCAATTTCCGTGATATTGTCCTATTACATCACAGGGCCAAAAATCAAGTAAAGATTTAAGTATAATGCTTAGACTCATTATTACTTTCTACTCCAAAGATCAAAATGTGAAAGACTAGCAGAAAGTAATTCTCTTCTCTAGTTAGCTTATTAAAAGATGCAGTAAATGAGACTTCTCTGGTGGTCCAGTGGTTAAGACTCCAAGCTCCCAATGCAGGGGGCATGGGTTCAATCCCTGGTCAGGGAATCAAAATTCCATGTGCCATGCAACATAGCCAAAAAAGGGGCGGGGGGGGGCAGTGGTTACAATGTACTGGGATAGAATGAGCCACCTCGGTAGCATCCGAGGCTAATACATTTCTATCACCACAATTACTTTAGCAAACCTGGTTCCCCTCACCTCTGCAACATCATGCAGAGCCAGTGATCGAGTTTGCACAACTTCAGAGACCGACAGAGATGCAACAAGGCAAGAACCCCTCCCAACCTTTCTTGCCCCCCCGAAAAAAGAGATACATACCTCTTCTTTTTAACTTCTTTCTTAGGCTTCTTCTCATACACTGGATTCTCTCGTATTGCAGCATGAGCTTTCTTATACATCTCCTCCATCTGAAACAAAGCAAAGCAAACAGTACTTGGTTTCATTTCATATGCCCTAAACAATAATACGACACACTATTCTACTGCTTGCTCTATTCTGTCCAAGACAGATTCTCAAAAGGAGTTAAACTTAAGTCCATGTTGGTATCTGTATGAAAACCACATTTTCCTAAGTCCCAGTTTTTACCACAGGCAATATGAACTGACACTATTCACAAAACGTAACTTAATCTTCCTAAAAAAAAAAAACAAACAAAAATTTCTGAGCTGTTCAGCTATACTTCTTGAGTCAAGTTCAGAATAAATTGTTCCTATAGAAACACATACTATGCTCACTTAAAACCATCTGACCTAAATTCTTTCATTCAAGTGCAGTACATGCCAGCATTTAAGAGGTTACAATGAAGAATATGTGGGCCAAAAAACAAATGCCAAATACATCTCTGTTCTCCCACATTCCCCATTATTTCTATTTTCCACTGATTTCTGATAGGTCTTTACAAAAGTTATTCCCAGGATCCCATACCAGGGACCTCCTGATCTATCACCACAAATTACCATATCTGGCAGTATCAGGTCTTAGTGGAATCAGAAAGAGGTCTCAATTTCCCTAGAAAATCCTGAAAGGCTATTAGAAACATTACTGAGAATTTTGTTCTAAAATTTAACAAAAAACAATGTTGCAACTCTCTGAATTATTTCCATACTCCCTAACCCAAGCAAATGACTACCAATCACAAGGAAGATCAAGTCATGAAGAAACTAAAATGCCTGAAACTCAGTAACAATTACCTTCTTCCTTAAGAATGAGTCAAGTTAATCCAGATCTCTACTTCTTATTCAACATGGATAACATGCAATTACTACATGCATTTGTATAAAACTCATTAGCCAAGGAAAATCATGCAAAAACTTGAAACAGCGCTTGAGACCTCAAATACCTAAATCCCTTTTGAAAGTTAATTTCTCTACTTCTCTTAGCTATTACAGGTCTCTACTGTATTTAACAAATTTAATGATTTCAAATGCAGCCATTTAACAAATCTAACCAACCCAGTTCATTTCTTCTACAAGATCAATTCCAGAGGAAATACAACGATGTATGTAGATAACACCATGAATTTAGTTTATAAAAAGACCACTTTCTGTTGGGAGACACCAGATGTCTGCAGATTTCAGGAGGCACACATAAGCAAAGAAGCCTCTACAGATAAAATGAATGAGCTAACTGTAAAAGGATTAGCCAAAGAATGGTCTGGCTGAAGTATAACATGCATTAAGAAAGCATTAGGAAGTAGACATCTGAAAACACACGTTATGGCTTAGGAAGAAGTCTTACAGGCAAAGCAGAATCAGTCAAAACTAAAAGGTATTTTTAATACTAGGGTGATGTCAATAGTAACATAAAGAAATATATTCATGTGAAAATTAACATGCATCTACATTACTAATATAAAACTACCCATTTCCTAGCTCAAAAACTCAGAACTATAGTGTTTATTCAGTCTTAAGACTGTGTACTAAGCATACAAATGACAGTAAGTGATCTTCCCCCCAATTATAATTCTATTTTAAATATAATTTTTAGACATAGGTATACCAAAATACAAACTATGCACCAACAGAAAGAACCTAGTAACAACAATTACTTAACATATAATCTATCAATTTACATACAATTCTATATTTGTAGGTTTTACAATAATCTGTGATTTTGGTGTTCTATGCCCTCATTATCAAAACTAGCACTATCATCTTCAATTACTTCAATGTGTTATAAAGATAGCCCTTAGACTCAACTTGAGGGGTGATAAACTTTACAACATTAAACTAACTTTTGAAAACATGGGTCCTTTCACTTCTGCAACATCACACACAACTAGTGATAGACCCATCCCTCTCCTTTTATGTGCATGCCTGAGACAGAGACGATCAACATGGCACTTATCGGCTATGATGAAGAATGAACCCTTTCCCCTATTATCTCAAAAAAGGAAGTTTAGTAAATAGCACCTCATATCAGAGTAGATTATAACTATGACCACACGAATGAATTTAACTATATAGAACAGCCAAATGCCTAAGAGCCACCAAATGCTTTAGATTTGGATGCTTGAAGCTTGCCATCCTTAAGCATCTAAAAGATTCCTAAAAGCATGTTGACAAGCCTAGCTCCTAATATCTTTTCTGACTTTTTAACTTGCCCTGGGCCCAATATCCCAACTTCATTTTAAGCCAAAAACAGCTTTTTAAGGTCTGTCTACACCTACGAACATACCCTTATTCAATTTTAACTGTTAACCTGAAATAAAACTGTATTAACGTACCTACCCAAAATAGATAGAAAACCTGGTTCTATAAATTTACCAATACAGTCATTTAAAAGTTTTTTACCATGTCTGGAGTTACGTTGTTCTTTATGTACTGAGAGAATTGTTTCTTGTAAGCATCTTCATCTTCTTCAATCAGGTAACGCATGTAATCTGCAACGTTCTGACCCATGATGTGCTTTCGGTGTACCTCAGCACTGAATTCTTTGCTTTCTGAATCATAACCAGGGAACCGTTTGGTACTGAAATAAAGTTTTCCATATTTTAGTAATACTGGTTGAAATAAGTTTACTAGCAGGAATTCATTTTAGTAGCTGCCATCAGTCCCGTCTTGAAACAATTAATTGCATCATGAATGCAACCAAAGGACCAACTAGTGACTGCTCAGTTAGTGGGGTATCATCATTCAGCAGCTAATTTCTGAATTCCTGGACAGAAAATCATGCCAGAAGCACCTTTAAAAACCATTAAATGAACCAAGGCCACTATAAAGTTAGTTCTCCATATTTCATACACACATTTCAAAATTACTTTCCTGAAAACCTACAATTACTTAGTGGTGCCTCAGGGCACACGGTAAGTGATTTGTTCCAGATTACATTTAACAGGTGCCTTGCAAGAGAACTGGCAAGACACAACCCCCTCCCCCAAAACCCCCTACATTATAGAATTAAGTGCCAGTTAGGTTGTATTTTACTGTTTACCACTCCTCTGCCAAAAAAGGCAAGTGAGGGGGAGGGGAAGTATTGGTGGAATAGAGTTGCTCATTTCTAACCAAAACTTCCCTTGTGGCTCAGCTGGTAAAGAATCCCCCTGTAATGCAAAAGACCTGGGTTTGATCCCTGGGTTGGGAAGATTCCCTGGCGAAAGCAAGGGCTACCCACTCCAGTATTCTGGCCTGGAGAATTCCATGGACTGTATAGTCCACAGGGTGGTAAAGAGTCAGACACGCCTGAGCAACTTTCACTTTACTTCAACCAAAACTTAGCCACACACAAAAGGTAGTGGTTTCAACACTGGCTTCTCCACTTACTGGCTCTAAAACCTTGGACAATTCATTTTACCTCTGAAACCCAGTCTCTTCATTTATAAACCATGTTACAATTCCTTCCCACCCTGCCAAGTTCCTTTTACACAGTACCCAGCACATGGCAAGTACACAATGATACTATTACTTTCACTGGTTCAGTTTTCTCCAAAGCCCAACTAGTTAGAAACAGTGCAGTTCTGGAGTCCAGGAAATGTGGTCTTGAATACTATTATTACCTGTGAGGGATAGACAAGCCTCCATCGACTTGAATACTATTATTACCTGTGAGGGATAGACAAGCCTCCATCGACAGCTCCCTTTAGGGCCCCAAAAACTTTATTCCCGGTAGTAGTTCTAGCAAGTCCTGCATCCAAGTAACAGGTGAAGGCACCAGGTTGACCATCAATACTTTCCACATTGTATTCATCTCCAGTCACTTCGACTTGGCCTTCATAAATTTTGTCCATACCAAACCTATTAAGAAGCTATTAACAAAGAAGCCAGTCTAAATGCTTATCAGAACATATTCAAACTCTAAAATACCTCAAAATTCACAACTTTAATAGCCAGACAAAAGAATTCTTTCCAATTCACTTTTCTCTTTATCCCAACCTACTTTTAAAGAAATTTCAGACATCCAATTTTAATCACAAGTATAACTGTTTAACAGTTTCTGAACTGGCTACACTGTCCATACTTGATTTTTGTAGCAATCAATTAGGACACGGTACTTAAAAGAACACCTTTTTTCCTCTATGAAGGTACTACATTATATTAATTAAGCCACTACTCTGCTAGTACATCAGGTGGCTATGGTTTCATAAGTAGTGCCTTTGCACTAAAATGCTCTCATATAAAACAGTGTTCCCCATCCCAACATGTTTATAACCAGTGAAGATGTGGGTCCCCAACAATGACACAAGCTTAACAATTCCAATGCAAAACAAGGTCCGTAACCAAGAAAACAAAAACAAGGCGAAAATTAAACTTTCACTTCCTTTCTGTATTATAGGAAATGCTGCCACCCAGAGGCAAAGATTATTAAAACAAAACTGAATACTCCCACCAATGCCTACCCCCACCCCAAAAGCTTAAGGCACTGCTTCTCAAAACTTAGCATGTATATAAATCACGTGGACATCCTATCAAAATATAATTTCTGAAGGTGTGGAGAACATGCATTTTTAACATACACTGATGCTCACAAAAGCTACACTTCTGAGTAGATCTGTCCAACAACTAGCCACCAACCAGCCACAGCCAGTTATTCATATTTAAGTTAAAAACTCAGTTATGGAAGAAAAAAAAAAAACAACTCAGTTATGAGTAGCACTAAAAACATTTCAAGCACTCTATATATGTGGCTAGTGGCTACCACATCAGACAGCATAGATTATAGACATCCATCACTGCAGAAAATTCTACTTGCCTAATAGAAAACTGGAGAGAAAAAAAGGCCTCCCCAGATTAGAAAGTGTATCTGCTAGAAACAATGTATTTATAAAATTATCTTCTGTGGTACTGCCCTTGGAGACCACCGGGCAACAAGAGGCACTCCTCTGTCCCCATAGCTGAAGGTATCTGATCCATGTATGAACCATCTATGTTGCAGACAACTCCAGTGAGCTAATTCCAAAGTATGCCAACTGAAATAATCTTGTACATACCCTGCGGGCCAGCAGCAGGCCAGTACAATATGCTGCAGCATAATTTGTCAGGCCAACCTTCACACCGTATTTTGGGAGTTCGTGAGCATAAGCTGCACAAACTATCATATCTCCTTCTATACGGGCATAAGCAATCTATAAAAAAAGAAAAATGAGGTTAGTAATCTGTTTTCACTGATTACTTGTCCCAAATATCTTCTTTGTCAAAGGACTTAACAAATAGATACAGACCTGCATCACTTAAGACTTGTCTTTGTTAAACCCACTCACTGTTTCAACTACAGATTTATGGCTTCATCAACTAGAGCAGGTAGGTTTGAGTCAAATGCCACAATACAAATGTTTCAAATTACAGTTGGTAATGGACAGGGAAGCCTGGTGTGCTGCAGTCCATGGGGTTGCAGAGTCAGACAGGACTGAGAGACTGAACTGAACTAATAAGCAAACTGCTGCTTTCTGAAAATCTTTTTTTCCTGAAAATCTTTTACATGGGAGACACCTTCATACCTATTTACTAAAACTACTTCAAAAGGAATAAGAACACTTAAGAGTCTAATTTAATATTCACACCCACCTACCTCTTCAAAGCAGTGGATAAATGGACTTAGTTCATAACAAATTATATTTTCCTACTGGAATTACAATGGGCAAGAACCTTCTACTAGGTCTTAAATTTATCCTCCCATCCCCCCCAAAATAGCACAGAACCATAAATTTCTCTAGCCGCAACCCCCCCAAAGTGAATGGATTAAACTGGGGTAGGACTGCCGAAGAGCTGATCTTCAGAGTATTTTTTTCTTAACAGTACCAATTTTCCAGGTTCCACCTTCAGACCTACTAAAACGACGCCTCAGTGAACGTTTTTTGGGGTGCCAGGCACCAAACTAGACCGACCTAATGCATACATTTGTTCTGCTTCCCAAGTATGTCTCTAGCATAGTGAGGGAAGAAGTGGGGTGGAGGTTACCAACTATTATTTAAGTCTAAAATACAACTTACCTGACAAATGATATCTCTGTTCGTTACACGAACAATCATTCTGTATTTAGGTGTGTTGTACTTATTTTTATCTTGGATAACCAATCGTTTCCGAGCATAGTAGTCAGTTTTGCCCTCTGAAAGAAAAAAATAAATTAAAAAAGTCCACTCGGCTATAAAGCAGAATCTTTTCCTACTGAGAATATAAAACCTGACCATACCTCGCCTTCTTCTGAATTTCACTTGGTATCTCTTGAAGTAGGCCTTGTTCTTGACAACTTTCACAAACCCCTTTAAGATAAAAGAATAAGTTATTAAAACTTTGATAAATGTTTTAGCTTGATACCTTTGACATTTGAGTTAACTTTGTAACAAAGTAACAACTTTGTCACAAGTAACAACCTAAACTTCAAAAGTGAATCCAGAAAACCATCACTTTCTCAAATCTGAGAAATCAAATCAAAACACTTTTTCTTTTATTTTCCATCTATCAAGACTGACAGTCTCATACAACAAAATAAAAATGAATCAGCGCCAAAATAGGAATGAAAAAACAAACAGGCCAATTTATTATAGCAACCAGATATAAAATGACCACTATTAAAAGTTTTAAACACTCTCCACTTTCATTCCCTCTCTTGGACCAACAATCCTTGTGTCCAACTTTTGCTTAAGACAACTATTTTGCAACGTCAGTCTGTTGATGCTGTCCCATTTCGTGAAGCTAATATTTCCCCTTTCCACGAACTTTTTCCAAAAACCTCAATTACTTGTCAGGAAACAACTGGCCAGGCACATATTCAGCAATTACTCCCGATCAAAACAACAGCCCACCATAAGCTACAGCAGCACACCACCCGAAAATTCACTAAAATCTGGTACCAGCGACGATTTAGAGAAAAAAGCAGGAGAGGCACACCAAACTAAATGGGCTTTCTTTCGGGTCCCAAAGACACCACAGCCTCCAGGTTCTACTGACGGTTTGGGCTTAAAAGCCACTTCTTCGGCCCAGTAACAGGTTTTCCAAACAACTTGCTGACCCCGACGCTCCCTCGGAAAACCCACCAGTCAGGAGCGGAGCTGGGTCCGAGAAGCCACAGCCCGTCTCCACTCGGATCAGTAGTCTGAGACCTACTCCGTGCAATCTTTCCTTCCGGGCCGCCTGCCGGAGCGCCCCTCTGCCAAGCCAGAACTATCCACACCGTTCGTCTCCTTTACTCACCTCATCCTCAACCCCCTGTCCCAGCTCCCGTCTTCTTCAACCCCTCCCCCCACTAAGCTTGAGCGCCGAGGCAGCCATTAAGGCCACGCTGGGAGCTGCAGCCCGACCACAGCGGAGCCGGCAATCTAACGCCATCCGACTCCTGCGCCGCGCTAAATGAGCTCTAGGCGGGCTTTAGGACAAGGAGAGGGAAGCCCCACGCATCTGTAGGCCCAGCAGCGGGATACCCACTCACCATCCTGCGGAACAGAACGCCGATTCCGCGGCTTGCCACAGAGCTGCAGAACCAGCACGGCTCCGTGGGGGAAAAAGGCCGCGGCGCGCGCGCAGGCGCAGTATGTAGCGCCGACGATCACGCCAGCGACGTGTGGAAGAGAGACCAGCCGGTCGGCCGGAGGGCAGTGTGCCTCCCCCTGCTGGTGGGAAGACCGGTGCTGGCCTTCCCCGTCCCCCGACAGACCCTCAGAGCGGCGGACTCCCACAGCTCCTGACCGGTAATCCGACGGGGAGCGACTGTGAGCACGAGCGTGCAGGATTATTAACGGCCTTCACTTTCCTATGCTAGGAAGTTGTTTCATAACAAACCTGTATTATTTTTGTAAGAAAGAAAAAAATTTTTAATTAAGTAGAATGAATTTGCTGTGGAGCACTTCTGCCTGCTCCCTGACTAGGCTTCCGAGTCCAGAGCACATGCCTCTCACGGAGCCTTGCCTTAGTGCTCCAAGCCTGGGTTAGGGGCCTTCCACCGCGCCTTCGTACCTGCCTAGCCTACCCGAGATTGTAAACTCCCCGAGGGTAGTAGGGCCTGCTGTTAAATTCCTTTGCTTCTCTAGCACTTAGTCTAATCTGTCTGATACTTGATGAAACTGCAAACAAATCCAAATTGAGAGACATTCTACAAAGTAACTGGTAGGTATCCTTCAAAAATGACAAAATCATGATAGATAAGGAAAAACTAAAGAACTATTCCAGATTGAAACAGACAACTACATCAATGTGCGATTCTAGGCTTCATCCTGGACAAGAAAGGAAAAAAAAAAAAGAAAAAAGAAGGGCTTTTTGTTTGTTTGTTTGTTTGTTTGTTTTCTACAAAGAATATTCTCAGAATAGTCAGTGGAATTTGAATGAAATCTGTGGATTAGATGCTGGTAATAGATCAATGTCAATTTCATTCTGATAACCACACTATGGTTATGTATGAGAGTGTTCTTGTTTTTTCAGGAAATATACTTTGAACTATTTTGGAGTTCAAAATAGGCATTGTTTCACAACTTATTCTCAAATGATGACAAAAAATAAATTACAAAAAAAATTACAAAAAAAAATACATGTAAAGAGAAAGAAAATGAAAAAGCAAATGTATTAAAATGTTAACAATAGGGAACCTGGAAGAAGGATATATGGAAATTTTTTGTACTACTGTTCTCACAACCAATTTTTTATTTTGAAATTATTTCAGAATAAAAAATAAAACATTGTGGGAACTTTCCTGGTGGTCCAGTGGCTAAGACTGTGTTCCCAATGCAGGGCGCCCGGATTCAACCCCTGGACAAAGAATTAGATCCTACATACCTCAACTAAAAATTCCTCATGCTGCAACTATTAATAAAAAATCTCGCATGCAACAACGGGGATTGAAAATCCTGCTTGCTGCAACTAAGACCTGGAGGAGCCAAAAAAAGAGAGAATGTTAGGAATTCCCTGCCAGATCAGTGGTTAGGAAATCCCTGGTTGAGGTACTGAGACCCCCACAAGCAGCTCATTGTGGTCAAAGGAAAAATAATTAAAAATAAAACATTGATTCCTTTTAAAATAGGAGATATTTCTCTTGTTATTTGAAGTGAAAACAAACTCAGTTTTATCAAATATGTCAAATATTTAAAACAAATAGAAAATAAATCAGCGACTTTTAGTTCTGGTAGAAGATTTAATACCAAAATATGGAAAGTATTCTATGATATCCATCCATGAGGTACTTACTTACTGCCCAAATCATCTAGATCTTTATTGAAACCACCATCAGTTCAGTTCAGTCGCTCAGTCATGTACGACTCTTTGGGCCTCCATGTACTGCATCATACCAGGCTTCCCAGTCCATCACCAAATCCCGCAGCATACTCAAACTCATGTCCATGGAGTCAGTGATGCCATCCAACCATCTCATCCTCTGTCATCCCCTTCTCCTCCTGGCTCCAATCTTTCCCAGCATCAGGGTCTTTTCAAATGAGTCAGTTCTTCGCATCAGGTGGCCAAAGTATTGGAGTTTCAACTTCAGCATCTGTCCTTTCAAAGAATATTCAGGACTGATTTCCTTTAGGAATGATGGGTTGGATCTCCTTGCAGACCAAGGGACTCTCAAGAGTCTTCTCCAACACCACAGTTCAAAAGCATCAATTCTTCCACACTCAGCTTTCTTTATAGGCCAACTCTCACATCCAAACACAATTACTGAAAAAACCATAGCTTTGACCAGATGGACCTTTGTTGGTAATGTCTCTGCTTTTTAATATGCTGTCTAGGTTGGTCATAGATTTTCTTCCAAGGAGCAAGTGTCTTTTAATTTCATGGATGCAGTCACCATCTGCAGTGATTTTGGAGCCCCGAAAAATAAAGTCTCTCACTGTTTCCATTGTTTCCCCCATCTATTTGCTTTGAAGTGATGGAACCAGATGCCATGATCTTAGTTTTCTGAATGTTGAGTTTTAAGCCAACTTTTTCACTCTCCTCTTTCACTTTCATCAAGAGGCTCTTTAGTTCTTCTTCACTTTCTGCTATAAGGGTGGTGTCATCTGCATATCTGAGGTTATTGATATTTCTCCAGAAATCTTGATTTCAGCTTGTGCTCCATCCAGCCCAGCATTTTGCATGATGTACTCTGCATATAAGTTAAATAAGCAGGGTGACAATATACAGCCTTGACGTGCTCCTTTCCCAATTTGAAACCAGTCTGTTGTTCCATGTCCACTTCTAACTGTTACTTCTTGACCTGTATATAGATTTCTCAGGAGGCAGGTCAGGTGGTCTAGTATCGAAGAATTTTCCACAGTTTGTTGTGATCCACACAGTCAAAGGCTTTGGCATAGTCAATAAAGCAGAAGTAGATGTTTCTCTGGAACTCTCTTGCTTTTTCAGTGATCCAATGGATGTTGGCAATTTGATCTCTGGTTCCTCTGCCTTTTCTAAATCCAGCTTGAACATCTGGAAGTTCACAGTTCATATACTGTTGAAGCCTGACTTGGAGAATTTTGAGCATTACTTTGCTAGTGTGTGAGATGTGTGCAATTGGGTGATAGTCTGAGCATTCTTGGGCATTGCCTTTCTTAGGGACTGGAATGAAAACTGACCTTTTCCAGTCCTGTGGCCACTGCTGAGTTTTCCAAATTTGCTGGCATACTGAGTGCAGCACTTCCATAGCGTCATCTTTTAGAATTTGAAATAGCTCAATTGGAATTCCATCATCTCTACTAGGTTTGTTTGTAGTGACGCTTCTTAAGGCCCACTTGACTTCACATACCAGGATGTCTGGCTCTGGGTGGGTGATCACACCTTCGTGGTTATCTGGGTCATGAAGATCTTTTTTGTATAGTTCTTCTGTGTATTCTTGCCACCTCTTCTTAATATCTTCTGCTTCTGTTAGATCCATAACATTTCTGTCCTTTATTGTGCCCATCTTTGCATGAAATGTTCCCTTGGTGTCTCTAATTTTCTTGAAGAGATCGCTAGTCTTTCCCATTCTATTGTTTTCCTCTATTTCTTTGCACTGATCACTGAAGAACTTTTTCTTATCGCTCCTTTCTATTCTTTGGAACTCTGCATTCAAATGGGTGTATCTTTTCTTTTCACCATAATAATGATCAAAAAACATCTAATTATCTCAAAATGTTTTTTCCCCTTTGTAATTGGTTTTTACCTCATGTGATTTTATGGTTGTACACTGAAGGGTAGCAAGAAATCAAAAAAAGGTTGGATCCCTTTTTTTGTATCAACATATTAGAAACCTTTTAAAACTGTGCTTTTATGTAGGAAAAAGTAATTAGTCTTCAATGAAAGAATACACTTTGTTTCTTAAAAGGAAAATGTGTAAAGTTATGACTTTGTGGGAATGAAAGTCTGGATAATATCAAGGACAATCAAACTTAGTTATGATTGAGTATGTTTGGGTGTTCCACTGATAAGTTACTTATGTACTGAATGACAAATAAGATAAAGACATATAAAATTCATAAATCATGATAAATTTATTCCATAAAACTTCCTTTTTTATCTCTTTATTTCAACAAAATCTCTGTGTTGCTCTCACCAAGATAGCACATCATTTGTGATCTACAGATAGTAAGGCCAAATTGAACAAATTTTCTTGAGTCATTGTGGTTCTTAAATAATTTTTATTAACTTCAATTAGGAGAAATTTTGTTGTGCTGAAGCAAGAGAGATGAATTTTAAATAAAGTTCATAAAGCAACCCTTAGACTTGAATATGAACCTTGATATTTCCCGTATCACGTTCAAACAAATGGTGTCATATATGATCAATTATTGTTTTCAATAGAATACAACAGAAACTATTACCAGATATTTTGATATCATCATATAAATCACTGCCATTTTTTTCCAGATTTCTTTGTCTCTTGCAATAGTATCTACATGTACCCAGGTTTTATTATTCTTCTTACAGTATTTCAATCATGGGGTATGATAAAGGAAAACAAAATAGTAGCATGTTGCTCTATTTGTTCAAATGTCTTTTCAATCAGACTATATACACTGAACTTTCAGGGTCAGAAAATAATCTCTATAGAAATTAGTTTTAGGTTTATTTGTGCTTGAGTTTACTTCTTCACTGTCATGCAAACTTTTCCATTTCCTTGTTCTAATTTCCTTATATTTCATTCTAATGTCACATTTGTTGAATGTCTCTCATGCAATTTCATTCAACATAGAAAAAAAATGTATCTACAATTTTTGTTTTAAAAAATTAGATCTGTTTGAATACTTGTATATTATTAAAAGCAAGTAATACTACATATTTAAAAAATAGATAAAATAAATAAATAAATAAAAAATAGATAGCACAATTTTTTTAAAAAAATCTTTTTTTTGCCAAAGACTGATTTGCTCTCTATTTGAGCATCTTCCCTGTTTCATTTGACTCTTCCACAGCATCTCATGTCTTGTTTAAATCAAATCTAACTTTTAGCAGGATGAGTACCTCTAAACCTGAAACTGGAACATAAAGATA